GCATAGTGAGTGATAGAGATGCTATCTTTCTAAGCCAATTTTGGCAGGGCTTGTTCTCTCTACAAGGCACTGATCTTTTACTATCCTCAGCATATCATCCTCAAACGGATGGTCANACCATTTTCCTTCAAATAAACTCTGAGAGAAAGCTATGAGTGTGGAGAACGAAGTTGTGCTGTCAATTTGGTGTGAAGTCGCCGGAGCAAGCTACAATCCTCGCCGGAAAATTCTCAAAACCTTCGATAAGCTTCGAGGTAAGCCCGTAGATATATCTAGTGATTAGAATGTTCGTATAGATCGTTTTTACGTTCATAAACGGTCGTTTGGTTGAGTTTTATGTTTGACATGTTTGAAGAACCAAGAATCATAAACCAAGAAATTGTTGTTAAAACTACAAATTAATGACTCTAAAATGATCTGTGAACATTGGGGAACATTCCTATATAATTTAATTGAAGTTTGGTAATTAAAAATGATAATGTTAAAAATTGAACAGAGGAAGAAGATGATGAACAGTGGCCGAAAATTGATTATAATCTTCCTAATAATCGATTAAAAATTTGTTCAGATAGTCAGTATATTTAAAAATAATAATAATCGATTATTTTAATCATAAAAATCGATTTAACGTTATTAATCGATTATTTTAATTATAAAAATCGATTATTATGAATTAAATGATTATTTAAATTGTAAAAATCGATTATTATGAATTAATGGATTATTTAAATTGTAAAAATCGATTTTTTATGAATTAATCGATTATTTATATTGTAAAAATCGATTATTATGAATTAATCGATTATTTAAATTGTAAAAATCGATTAAAATTAATTAATTGATTATTTTAATTATAAAAATCGATTTTTAAGTATTAATTGATTATTTTAAATATAAAAATCGATTTTTAGTAATTAATGGATTATTTAAAATATAAAAATCGATTTTTAGCAATTAATTGATTATTTAAAATATAAAAATCGAGTTTTAGCAATTAATTGATTATTTAAAATATAAAAATCGATTTTTAGCAATTAATTGATTATTTAAATACAAAAATCGATTTTTAGCGATTAATTGATTATTTAAAATATAAAAATCGATTTTTAGCAATTAATTGATTATTTAAAATATAAAAATCGATTTTTAGCAATTAATTGATTATTTAAAATATAAAAATCGATTTTTAGCTATTAATGGATTATTTTAAATATAAAAAATCGATTTTTAGGTATTAATTGATTATTTTTAAAAATAAAAATCGATTTTTCTTAAGTCGAGATCCTGTTCCGAAAATATTCGGAAAATATACGCTATAAAATCCACCAATTGATTATGATCATTGGAAAAATGATTTACCATAATAAAATTGATGTTTTTAACAAATAAAAATGTTATGTGATGCATGACGGTAAGTTAGGGTGTTAACACTCGAAGCTAGGCCGCTAATTATTATTGAATATTATGTTGATTGATAATTATGGTAATGATTATTGATTGATTATTATGATGATTGAATCTTGATGAATATTCTGATTAAAAATGTTAATTGTGAATGATTAAATCATAATGAATATATTGATGATTGTGAAAATAAAATGTATTGTTAAGGGTATCTAGAAGACCTCTAAGATATACCCATATTAATGTTGATTTGAAAGGTATCTAGAAGACCTCTAAGATATACCCATAATAATGTTGATTTGAAAGGTATCTAGAAGACCTCTAAGATATATCTATTTAAGTTAGGCCTTGCGGGTATGAACCCCGGTGGCTAGGGTTAAAACGTACGTACGGGATCTAGGAACCAAACTTGAGTACCTACTCGTTTGGGGGTACCACCCACCCAACAGTGAACACTACGCTGTCGGTTTTTGGTTGGCCTTAAGCGAAGGTAAGTTTAAGATTTTCAAAACCCTTTTATCTTAAACTAGGCCTAGCTTAAGGATTATTTAGGAATATTTTATACTGGAATATAGTTTAATTATTTAAACTAGAATTCGTTTAAGGGTTGACAAATATTAAAGTGATTGGCCGTAGACTAAGAATAGTTTTAGGATATTGTTGAATGTTGAATATTGAATATTGAATATGAGTAAATATTGAATGATGAATATTGAATTGAATATTGCAATTATTATGAATGGCTGATGAACATTGAATGTGAATATAAATGTTGAATAATGCATGATGAATAATTTTTAATAATTATTGATTATCTGAGCTGAACATTATGTGCATGATATCAAATGATTTGATTATGAATTTAGATTCAGTTTATATGGATGTTCGATGCATTAGATATGCTTACTCAGCTTCAACGCTGAGCGTGTAGTATGTTTTATTTGCTACACGCAGGTTAATGAAGTGACGTGATCCTGGAGGCAGACGGAGGCGATATTGTCGGAATGGATGTGATGGTTTTGAATTAAAGAACATAAATAAATTATGTTTGTGATTATGATTGTTAAGCTTCCGCAATATTGAAAACTCCGTACTGTTTATGATATGAAAAATGTTATTATGATGAATAAAAGTGTTTGAAATGTTTTAAATTTTTACGATTACCAAGTTAGTACTTTAATCTGAAAGGGGCTGCAGACCTGGACGGATTAGGGTGTTACATCTTCAGACCTGGGAAAGCTCATTCAAGGGAGTTATGCCCTGGACCTGAACCTGGTACACCTAATTCAGGCTCTTAAACAATCCCAGCCAGTGCCAAACTTCACTTTTCAAGATGAGTTCCTTCGGAGGAAGGGAAAACTTGTCATAGGACCGGATGAGGGCTTAAAAACAAAAATCATCACATGGCATCATTCAAGCTCAGATGGCGGGCATTCTGGGAGGCAAGGTACTTTAAAAAGGGTGAAATCATTATTTTATTGGAGAGGTATGTCCAAGTCAGTAAGTCACTTTGTGAGGCATTGTTTGGTTTGCCAAGCCTTCAAGCATGAGACTGTGGCTTCTCCTGGACTGCTGCAACCCTTACAAGTTCCAGATGGCATTTGGCTAGATATTTCCATGGATTTTATAACTGGATTACCTAAATCTATGGGTAAAGAGGTTATCTTGGTGGTAGTAGATCGATTGAGCAAATACGCCCATTTTATTGCCCTCAAACACCCATTCACAGCTTTAGAGGTTGCTCAAGCGTATCTAGACAATGTGTTTAAACTGCATGGGTGGCCTAGAAGCATAGTGAGTGATAGAGATGCTATCTTTCTAAGCCAATTTTGGCAGGGCTTGTTCTCTCTACAAGGCACTGATCTTTTACTATCCTCAGCATATCATCCTCAAACGGATGGTCAAACAGAGGTGGTTAACAAGTGTTTGGAGATGTATCTTAGGTGTATGTGTGGTGAAACACCTTCAGAATGGTGTATGTGGCTTCCCCTTGCAGAATGGTGGTATAATACTCATTACCATACATCCATTCAAATCACCCCATATGAAGCAGTTTATGGACAACCTCCTCCTCTTTACCTACCTTACTTGCCTGGAGAGTCTAAGGTCGAAGCAGTGGACAGGAGTATGCAGAGAAGACAACAAATGATCAATGAGCTGAAATTTCAGTTGAGCAAGGCCCAAAACAGAATGAAGGTGCAAGCGGATAAGCATAGATCAGAAAGGAGTTTCCAAGTAGGAGATTGGGCATGGCTGAAACTGCAACCCTATAAACAGTCTTCTGTCCAAATGCGCAGCAATAACAAATTATCTCCCAATTACTATGGGCCATTTCGGATCAGTGCCACCATTGGCCAAGTGGCTTACAAGCTGATACTTCCAGCCACTTCCCTCATTCATGATGTTTTTCATGTCTCTCAGTTGAAGCCCTTCTATGGAGTTCTTCCAGAAGCAATCCATATTCCAGCATGGTTTCAAGGCAAGTCATCTACCACACGCCCTACACCTGAAGCAATTCTTGATAGGCGTATCATGAAGGTTCAAAATAAAGCCCAGGTTCAGTTCTTGGTTCATTGGAAAGGCTTCAGCCACTGGAAGCTACTTGGGAGCCCGCAGATGACTTTCAGGCCACATATCCTCATTTCCCCTTGACATCATGACTTGAGGACAAGTCTTTCCAAAAGGAGGGAGCAATGTTATAGCCAAGCTGATGTGGCAGTGGTAGTTAGTTGGTTAGAAGTGTGTTGGGTCTGTTAGCTGATCATTCACTTGTATAAATAGGTGGCCTTGTACTTTCATCACACATCATGAATAAAGATCAATTTTCTCTCTCCCTCCTCCTCTCTCGTTCTCTCCCCCTCTCCAAAATATCTTCTTTTCACCTTCTTCTTCAGCAGGTTCTGTCACCATTTCTGTTTCTCTTTTAGCAAGATTATTCTTGCTATTGCATTTGGATTTGGAGCTGTGTCTTCAATTGCAGAGTTCTTCTCCGTCTTTTATAGATGCTAAGAGAGATTCTTCCTATCTGGACTCTGATGAAACTTGCGATCCGGATTTCTCGTTGTAGGCAGAGGAAAGGCGCAAGTGTCGTCTCTTTTCTTCGCTACGGGATCCCTCTTTTCTCTCAACTATTTTGAAGTGTGCACTAAGTTTCTTGCGTTGGGAATCCTAATAAAAGAAAAATAAGTTTCGCTACGGGATCCCTCTTTTCTCTGAACTATTTTGAAGTGTTTGGGCAACTTCTGAATAATAGGTCTGAACCATTAAGTGCTGAACCAGTAACAGGTCTGAACCATTAAGAGCTAGTATATTGCTTAACTATTCAGAGGCAAATGTCTGATCAATTCAGATAAGAGGTCTTAACCATTCAGACTCTGTATAATACTTAATCATTTAGAGGCAAATCTCTTAACCATTCAGACATCTGAACCATTGAGAGGCTGAAACAAACAGTCTGAACCATTAAGTGCTGAACCATTCAAACATCTGAACCATTAAGAGGCTGAAACAAACAGCCCCTTAGACTTGATAAAAGAACATCATTTAACAATAGATTTTTTAGCCTATACTTATAATAAATACTCCGTATATATTAACCCCAACTCACAAATTTATTTTAAAGATGTAAATAATCCCTTGTAGGTAAAAAGGTGGAGTCTAGAGAGCACTAAATAAATGATACTACAAAACATGATCAAAAATACTCATTTTTCATATAAAATATATTTTGATGCCTAAATTGCATAAGTATAGAAAATATGCTCCATTAGGTAAAAATATGCAATTAAAGTATATAAAATAACTAAGAAATGGGGTTTTAAAATATAATGATTTGAGACTTAACACTTTTTCGCCTAACATTCCTTTCTCCCTTATTCCTCGAACCCTTTGGATTACTGATCTGAACTTCTCCATTATGGGGTGAATCAGTATCAGAAAAATGAATGCTTCCAACATGAGCTTCAACATCGACTTTCAACTTGTTAAATGCTTCCTCAAACAAAGCCCTAGCTACTTCATTGGAATCACTCGAAGACAAAACTTTGTGAACTTTCCTTTGCATCTGTAATCGCCAAACAGAAGGTAAAACAGGAAACCTAGAACATGAAGGAATATGGGATTCTTCAAATGACTTCGCATTACGTGACCAACGTTTCAAAATATAACAACCTGGGATATTTTCAACACAATGAATGTGATAAATTCGCAGAATATGAGAACAAAGAATGCCAGCTTCTTCAAAATGCTTGCACGTACAACTAGCACTGTCCGTTGAAGTATTATAGAGAACAAAGTATGGAAAAACATTGTCAGTTGGCACATACACCAAATAACGAAGCAAACTGCCATCTGAATGTCTGATCTCATGTTTAAGAGACAAGCTTTTGATAAATTCCTTCTCAAATAACATGTATGCATCAATGGTGTAGACTCTTGAGGCTCGATAGAGTAAACTCACATATGGGATAGCAATCTCTGGAAATCCCTCCCAACATCGTTCATTATCACTCCTCTCATGACTACGCCATTCACTCACAGTTTCACAGAAGAAATGATAAAAATCACATAGAGTAGCAGTTACACTTATTTTCCTAGACAAGGCATGATAGGTTGACTCACTACGTTGGGAAGACAAAATACCAGCAGAGAAGAAATCCTTTGAAAATGTTGGGCACCACTTCTCTCGAAGGTTATAAAGCTTCTTTAACCAATCATTATTCATACACGAATACTCTGTAACCAACCTGGAAAAAAGAATAAAATTTATAATGAAAATGACAATAATATATAATAAATAAATGTCACATAAGATACAAAAGACAATACCAAATGAACATACCTATTCTAGTAATAGTCAAACTCAGGAATGGTATGACAAAGTTTCAGAACATGATCGAAAAGATCCAAAAAACCATCCTGGTTCCTCAAATCCCTTATATGATTCTTGGAATTTTCAGAAATGTGCCAGTCATAATAGTCTTAGGATGCAAAAGACTGGTCAGTCATAATAGTCTTAGGATGCAACCCACCCATTGCTTCTAGAAAAGTGTGAAACAACCATTCAAAAGATTCAATTCTTTCATTTAATAAAAACCCACAACCAAACATACAGTTATGAGTGTGGTTGTTAACCCCAACAAATGGCCCACAAATCATTTCATATTTGTTTGTACGATATGTTGTATCATGCACAATCAAGTCACCAAATAAACAATAATCTTCCTTCATTTGCTTGTCCCTCCAAAAAAAACTAGCCAATGAACCTTCAAAATCAACCTAAGGCAAAGAAAAAATCTTCCTCGTTTCTTTGTCGTTGCCTAAAATACTTAACTAAAGTATTAGCATCTGTACCATCAAAGCACCTTTTAGCGTCTTTTGCCAAATTGTTATAAACATCTCTCAATGCAAAACCAACCGCAGGTGACCCCCCTAGCTTCTGTCCTCAAACAACGAAATGCATCAGCAACTTTAACCCCTTGTTGTTTTAAAAGATTAAGATATGACAGCTGTTCTTGAGAAATATCTCTATGTGATCTTACATGGTGAACCAATGAAGAAGGGCAAAACGAATGATTGTGTTCCATCAAATGTCTAACTACAACCCAATCAGCATTATCCTTCAATTCAAAGTAAACTTTAGCTTGACAACCAGTGCGTTGATCAACTTTGGTGATTTTTTTCCCAACAGCCCCTTTGATCTTTTTTACCTTCTTTATTACAACAAAACTCTCTCCCCCTGATACTCAAACCATTCTGACCTTTCCTTAAAGTTGAATAACGAATACCAAAACCAATCCTAAATGCATATTCATTATAAAAATCAAATGCCTCTTTCTCTGAATTTACTTTTTTGCCAATTAATTCTGATGTTTCTGCCTCTTGAACAAGAATGGTAGAATCTATGAAGTCATCATTAGATAACACCAGAGACGTATGTTGGAAATCAGGTACATTACATCCAGCTATAAAATTAAAAAGTACCAAATAAGAACAGAGGGAATATGAACAGAGGGAATATGGACAGATTTAATTATTTCCATTGTAGTATATGTCATAACACATTGACGTGTATACTGGTACTCATTTTTAGTAAAGTTCATCCATATGAACAGAGAGAATGCATTTACAAAGTAGAAAATGATATACAAAATTTAGGAAATTTACTAGAAGGGGTTGGGGTTGGGAAGTTTACAATTTCTCCACAACTCTCAATTGCTTCTATTAATTGGCTTTCATATAAACTAAAATCTGAAAAATGAAAGATGTGAATTAAAATTGGAATTGGGAAAAAGTTTCTGCTGGAGATTAAGATTGCTAAATTCGAGTATGAAGAACACTGAAAAAATTAGTTAATTAATGCCCAAAAATTATCACCTGGAGATTTAGATTGAAGGGACCAAAGCTCAGAATTACCAAGAAGATCAGTATCTGGTTCCATTGAGAAAGCAACGAAAGAAAAAGAAGCGGAAGAGAAGATGGATGAAGAAAGCGCAGCGCAGAAAGCAGAAATTGCAGAAGAAAAGGAAGAGAAGAACGATGAAGAAAAAGGGGAGAGAGATTACAAAAATACGTGGCTGTACCATATACTCCTTAATTTGGTATTTTGTACCAACATTCAATCAAATCACTCTTTTGTGATTCTCTCTCTTTGACCATTTCAGCTTCAGCCTATATGATTTCTCTGATTTTTGCTAACTTTCCGATCAGATGACCGGCGCGGAGTCGGAGTCAACGGCTTGGGAAAATCTTTTACGGAAGATGCTCCCTCCCTGCGCACCATTGCCTAACGAGGAGCATCTTGACTACTCCATAGCTGTCCAGTGTCATGCCTCTCCGGATTGCTTCCAGGACGTTCCCACCTTGAAACCTCAATCTGCTAAACCTCCCAAATCCCGGAAGCCTCAATCGGTGCTCTCCAGATTTCCATTGCTTAAGAAGAAAAATAGCTGTGGAAGCTCTTCTCCTACTTCGGAGTTTCAATTTAGCTACAATTCACATTCGGAGACTCGAGAAGGAAATGAGCAAGCCAATTTGGAATCAGATAATGAAACTGATAACCTGAGTGCTGTAACTTTTGAGGCTGGAAATGACTTTGATCCCACCGACGGTGATGGATGTAGAGGAATATCGCAGCTACCAGGTGAATCGGATGACCAAGCTAGTGGAATGAAGACAAGTGGAGGGATAAATGGCCAATTGTGGTTTAGGTCTAGGGCTACGGTTTGTAGTAGGTGTGGGAAGAAGAATAGACTAAGGGAGAGAGAGGTGTGCATTGTCTGTGATGCTGGATACTGTAAGAACTGTATACTCAAGGCTATGGGTTCGATGCCTGAGGGGAGGAAATGCATCGGATGCATTGGCCTGCCAATTAATGAGGCTAACAGAGAGATGCTGGGAAAGGTTCCCCGGTCATTAGCCAAAGTGTGCAGTCCCTTGGAAGTCACACAGATAATGAGGGCAGAGAGAGAATGCTTTGCCAATCAAATTCGACCCGAGCAGGTCTGGGTAAATGGAAGGCAGTTGAGGGAGGAAGAGTTGGTTGAATTGCTTGGATGTGTAATGCCTCCGGAGAAATTGAAACCTGGGAAGTATTGGTATGACAAGGATTCTGGACTCTGGGGGAAGGTGATCCTAACTGATTTTTTTTTTCCAAAATTATTGTAATACCAACACTAGTTTTGCTTCAGAAGTAGAATAGTGTTCTAGATGTGACAAACTTTTGAAATCACTGTGATTCTTTTGGCTGACAGGAAGGCAAGAAGCGAGATAGATTTATAAGCTCTAAACTAAATGTAGGGGGAAAGCTTTTGCTCGACGCAAGCAATGGAAACACAAAAGTATACATCAATGGACGTGAAATTACAAAAGTTGAACTTAGAGTACTGAAGGTAAATGTATTGGAGTTCTTGGTGCTCATGTCCATGAACATACTATTTAACTATTTTGAAATTCCAATCACATTCAACACACTCTCTATGATCTTACACTATATCACCTTACATAGAAGCATCTAAAAAGTTAGGACTAGGATAGTTGGGTAGGCGTTTGGATCTGGTGGTAGTTTTTGCACTTGTCATTGTGTGCTTTCTATGCTTATTGCTTTTTGTTTCATTGNGGGATGCTGACGCCCCTGTACGGAGATGCGAGCGGATTACGGTTTTCGGGGGAAGTAGGGGAAGGGGTAGACCTAAGAAGAATTGGGAGGAAGTGATTAGACAGGATTTAGGACTTCTCACCCTGACTGAGGATATGGCTTTAGATAGGAACCTTTGGAGAACTAGGATTAGAGTAGCTGGTTAGGAACTCGGTGCTATAGAGGTTTTTTGTAGTGTGTTGTGTTTGATTGGAATCTTCTATTAATGCTTGTAGAACTTTCTTTTCATTGTACTTGGTGTTTTATCCATGCTATACTGTATACCCTATCATATTTTTTGTGCAGGTTGAGCCGGGGGTCTCTTGGAAACAGCCTCCTTGCTTCCAAGTAGGGGCAAGGTCTGCGTACACACACCCTCCCCAGACCCTACTGTAGTGGGATCCAACTGGGTTGATGTTGTTTTGTACCCTTAACGGGCTCTATGCTTCCTTTACTGTGCTATGTGCTTTCTGTCTTATTCTAGTTGGGGATCTCTTGGAAACAACCTCTCAACTTTCAAGTAGGGGTAAGGTTTGCGTACACACATCCTCCCGAGATCATAGTTTTGTGGGATTCTAATGGATTGTTGTTGATTTCATGGAGGTCAGGAAATTTGTTAAAAAGATGTTGAAACGTGAAAATAGAGTGATCAAGTTTTTTAGACGAGAGAGAAGTATTTTTGACAAGAGAAGTTTTTTAGACGAGAGAGAAGTATTTTTGGCTAGAAGAGCATGAACTTTGGATCCTATAGTTTGTGGCTAATTAGGAAGAATTTTATAATCGCTTCAATGATGATAACTTTATTAATGTTTGTGTGAGTATAAATAGGCAAAACCTTACAAGACACCTACCATAATAATACTAGGAAACATGAAACCTTATTTAGGAATATTAAAAATAGAATATGACTATGACACAACAATAACCCAGTCTTGATAGTTTTTGTGAACATACTAATCTATTAGCCTTGATAACACTTCCTCCATAAACGGTGAAGCACAAAAACAGAAGAAACAGAAACATGCTGAGTATTGATTTCTGGAGGTGGTTTATGAGAAACCTCACTTTCTAAATTATCACACTGAGTCATAGATGCTCAAGATTCGATAGAAAAATCGCAAAAGGCCTCTGGATTGTTTTGCCGGAGAAAAATAGTTGCTGGAAGGGTCTCACGTCCTGAGGTGTTAGGCATCTTATACGTTTGGCAGTGAAGTGGCCAATAGGTTGGGACTTAGGAGCGCGTGAAGGCGCATGAGGAAATTGCTGGTGTCTGGAAGCAACTAATTGGTTAGGACTTGATGTAGTCCATTATTTACCGGAAGCTAAACATTATCAATAATGACTCTTTTATGCCTCATTGGCAATAGATGCATTTGTGATGAGTTCGGAATGGCTTGACATATTTCATGCACTTCCATGTTGAAGTTTTAACCAATCAGTTTGTCCTTCACTGTTCTATTATGCATATGAGTTTGATTCCACGGTTCTGTTTATGACAAGTAATCATAACATGCTACCACCTACCAATATGTAAGAGTTCCTTGTTTATAACACAGCATTGCCACTGATCTGTGTTCCTCACAGATTATGCATTTCATTTTTTAAGAGAACTTCATTTTTCATTCTTTCACATGTTTTCAATTTAATTCTATGTCATATTGTCATGTTTCATAATTCCATGTTTGTTTTGTAAGACCAATCATGTGATGGAACATGGACATAACATGAATGGTGACAGTTTAAGATTTTACTTTTCATTATTTCTTCTTATGAAAGTTGTGTTAAGCAGGGCTTTCGGCATAAAACACTGCCACCATGTTTTTTTCGTCATGACTTCATAGTGTTAATTATTTTTGTGTTATTAATTAATCAGCTGATTGACACTAAATTCGATGCCACCAAATCCAACTAGGTGGGATTAAGGTGCTAATTATGGTGATCATGTTTGCACTTCGCAGTTCAGTTCTCGCCTGGTCTTATCACCTGCTCCTTCTTCCTCTTCCTCTCACGCTTCCCTTTTTGTTTTCTCTCTGTTTTTTTCTTCTTCCAGTTAGCCAAAGTAGATTGCCCCAGAGATACTCACTTTTGGGTATATGATGATGGTTCATATGAAGAAGAAGGCCAAAACAGTATTAGAGGAAACATATGGGAGAAGGTTCCCCTGTAATCCTTTATAATTATTATGTTATTAAATTCCATAGAATTCAACTCTAAAGTCATATTGTTGTTATATTCATATGTTATAAGTTGCAGTTGGATTTCTTGTCAGGCAGGCATTCACTCGTTTCCTATGCTCATTATGGTCATTGCCCATTCCCCTTGCAAATACTCAAGGACCAATAGAGGATGGAACTACTTTTTCAGGGAGGTCTCTGCCTGGTTCTTTGGAGCATAGCGAGTCTCAGAAACTTTTGCTATTTGGGTTGGAGGGATCTGGGACAAGCACTCTTTTTAAGCAAGTATGCCATCATATTTTCTTTTTTTTGAGAGTTAGATACACTATTCAGTTTGCACCTACAACTATTTTATTTGCTTTATTTTTGTCCTAACCAAGTAACCATGCATTTTTATTTATGATTTGGAAAACTTCACACCAATACTCCTAAAAATTGTTGATTTTGCATGAACACTCCCAAAAAAGAAAATTAACACCAATCATGTGAACTTCAATTTTAAATCATGTGAACACTCCAGGCGTTAACTGAGCTGGAACTCCGTCCAATTATTTCATACGTACTTTCTGATTTTGTAAATTACTCTAAAGCTTGGTCCTAAGTGTACATCTTAATTACTCTCTCCGCCCTAAATCAATTGTCTCGTTGCAAATTATAATGGTAGATTGAATTTATTTTCAATTGAATTTATTTAAATAAGGAAAAATTGATATAAATACTCCCAGAAATTTGAAATTTTACAATAGTACTCCCAAATTTAATAAAAGACTCTGGTGCTCCCAATTAAACTATAAGTTTACATTGCTACTCCCACTATTCCTAATCAGCTTTTCTTATGCTCACATGTAAGTAATTATGCTTAGTTGACATCTTAGTTGTTCTTTTTGTTTTAATAAGAGAAAAAAATTGTATAAATACTCTCTGAAATTCCAATAATCTCTCAAAACCAAATAAAGATTCCAGTACTCTAAAAAATATCTTCCTTTTACGTGTTATGATGTTTAATAAAAGTGGTGTGAAATCAAAAAATAAAATTATATATCTAAAAACTACATTATAAGATCTATAAAACTAGTAATGATATAATTATATTATTTTAGCAAATACATAATTAATATAGATAAGCAAAGTAAATAAAATTTGATCTTGTTAATACTCTTGATAGTGAATGAGAAGATAATTTTTGGACAGAGGGATATTTTTTATTAAAATATAAAAAACTACTTAAGATGCCAATTAAGCTCAATTAATTAATCTTTAATATTACTAAAAAAAATATTTTTACATATTCCTACTATATTAGTTTTTAATATGTAATTTTTATTTTTTAATTTCACACCATTTTTTATATAAAATACTTTAAAAATAATTTCAGTCAAATATAGTAACGTGCAACGAGAATATACTTTTAGGAGAATTGGAGTCTTTATTTGATTTTGGGAGAATTATTGTAAAATTTTGAATTTCTATGAGTATTTATATAATTTTTTCCTCTTATTAAAACAAAAAACAACAACTAAGATAACAACTAAGCATAATTACTTACATGTAAGCATAAGAAAAGCTGATTAGAGATAGTGGGAGTAGTAATGTAAACTTAGTTTAATTGGGAGCACCAGAGTCTTTTATTGAATTTTGGAGTATTATTGTGAAATTTCAAATTTCTGGGAGTATTTATATCAATTTTTCCTTTAAATAATGGTAAAAAATTCAAAATAAAATTATATATTAAGAACTAAATTAAATTCTGTATAAAATAAGATGTGACGTGACTATGCTAATTTTAAATATGATTAACAAAAATAAGTAAAGAAAGAAAAAAAACTGACCTTGAACAATGAAGACGATTAATTTTGAAATGGAGTACTACAGGGTCTAGTACGCCTTAAGATTAAAAATAAAACCTAATCCAACTAAAATAAAATGTACCAACTTCTTTTCACAACAATTGCTTTTTGGATGGTTTAGGCCCTTATCAAGCGAGAGATTTATACTCGTGTTGTACATCTAGATGTATACAACAACAACAATCCAATTGGATCCCACGAAAGTAGAGTAAGTAGTGTCTGTGGAGGGTGTGTGTATGCAGACCTTGGCCCTACTCAAAAGTAGAGGGACTGTTTCCAAGAGACCCCCGACTCAAGCTGCCCAAATAAAAAGATCCTAGGAGATAATAAAGCACAGGAGAATTACCACAATAATGATGCTCCAAATTGTTTAGTTGTACACGTAATTTAAAAAAAAAAATCTAGTAATTGAAATGGAAACAACAAACCAAGATAAGTTAACCCCAAAAAATAAGAAATATAATCACAAAGAAATTGGTATTGAAACACTTGAGATACCAGGAAGCAAAGCTGCATATGTATGTAAATAATAATTTTTCAAAAGAATAAACGTTGGAGAACCCCACTTTGCACAAAGTTTTGTACTCCAAAGGCAAACAGACACTCATTTTTTTCGTGTAGAAACTGAACATTTTATTGTGGAGAATAGTCTTATTTTCATTGAATGCTCATTTGCAGATGCTGGATGTACAATCATCAAGATACATCCGGATGCATAATATTCTTGTATATTTTTTATCAAGTGGATTAAATATAAGTTTTTAAAGTATTGATCATTTATGCCGTACTTCCTTCACTCGTAAATTAAAATACCTTTGACTTCACCTAATTTTATCTCTTGATTGATTTCTTGGGGACGGAGAGAATACTTTTTGATTTCCTAATTGATTTTATTTTTCTTGTTTCCCAAATTATAGTGGGCATATGTGTAAGTTTTAACATAGCTCAAAGTGTTTAGTCGCGGTTTATAATGTTTGGTTGAACTTATATTCAACTTAGTTTATTTATAAATTGTGTGTAGAATAAAAAAATTGTTTTCTTATGTATTAGCGTTTTGGATATTTTTAATGGTGTAAATTAACTTTGGAAATGTTGAAGTCAAATATTTCCCTTATATATCCTTTTCAAAATGCTGAAACTATTACCAAACGGACTTATTATTATATCAAATAACCTATTAAAATATAGTATAAAAATCAAGATAAAGTTTCATTTTAAGAAAAATTTTCAGCAATACTCCGAAAAATGTATGATTTTACAAGAATACTCCAAAAATCAATTAATTACATCATTACTCCCACAATTACTCTATTTTTACACAAACACTCCACCCGCCACCTCACTTGCACAATCATATTGTGTAATATCTACATTAGTTTTTAAACTGATGACTTGGAAAATAAATTACTTTTGTTCAGTTTCCATACAAAAAATATATATTACTTATTCTCCATCCAACTCAAATATCAATCTTGATCCTACTTTAAGAAGTAATTTTTTTGGATTGGAAAAGTTTACTTCTAAATTTTTCTCTTTTCTATTTTTTCCCACTCCTTACAGTTTCATCCAACATTCAATTTTAGAATTCCAACCGAAAATGACATGCCTTAATTGTGAGAGACGTGATTGATATTTCAGTTGGTGGAGGAATACGTATTTTTTTATGAAAACCAAAGTAAATTTTTTCAAACCATCACTTTAAAAATCCATTTAGATACTACATGAACTTATTGTGCAAGTAGGGTGGTGGGTGGAGTGTTTTTGTAGAAAAAGAGAGCAATTTTGGGAGTAATGCCGTAATTAACTAATTTTCAGAGTATTCTTATAGAATCAGAAATTTTTCGGAGTATTGTTGTGAATTTTTCCTTGATTTTATGAATACCGAAAATAAGCTATTTCATAAACCCAAGAAGTCTAAGCCAAAACGCAATGAAGACTTGTGATTAAAAGTCAAGATTTTCAAATACAATATAGATCTCCTCCGTATAATTTTTAAAAAAAATTATGAATTTTTTTACGGTGTTTCAACCTTATGATTTTCATAACCATGGGATTTTTAAACCTTCAGTTTTGTGAACAGTGTTTAGTTTCTTTGGTATTATTAGTTTCAGATTTTTTTTGTAATTACCATCCAAGATTATTGGGTGTAGAAATATTTTTATTACCGTTCTAATGTTATTTGTTGCTTGAGACTACCTGTCATTGATTTGTAGAAGAGTACTTCCCTTCCCCCTAGCAGTTTTATTTAAAGCAACACTCACTATTTCTCTTTTGTTTTTTTATATTGGAATGCCAGTATTTAATTGTATAAATGCTGAACGTAACCCTTTGCATGGATAAATGTTAAGAACTATTGCTTTTTTTGTTGTATTTTCACTCCAACTTTTGAAACATTATTGCATTTCAGCTTAAATTTGGTAAAAATTGAATTCTATGGTTGTCATGTGGTGTCATAACTATCAATATCCATTCATTTTGAAAAATTTACGTGGCGTACTATTACGCTCCTCTGCCATCATTATACCCTACAATTGCAAATTTAACCTTGGCCTTAGAGTAGATAAAAAGTTTCTAATATTTTTCTCCTGTAAGGAGATTCTAACTGAAACATACTATCTGTGCTAGTCAGCACATACTGTGATGTCTTAGGAAATATATTTGTGGAAACAAAGAAGAATGAGATGTTGGTAGTTTTATCTATTTACCATAATTGAAATTTGAGCATTAGATTGTTTTTGTTGGAATTTTGTCAGTTTTCCATAAAATGCTATCCTGGTTATCTTCAAAACTACTTTGGCTCTCATATTTTAGGTTGAATAGATATTAGTATTGGCCATTATTTAGGGTGAAATTACTAAAACTGAAAGAATCCCGATAATGGATAACCGTCAGCCCTTTTTGTTCTAACATTTTGATTTGTTTAGCCATCACATATTCAAATTCATTCTGTCTCGAAATTTGTGCCTCCTTTCTATTTGGTAAATAAATTTTCAAGAATTGTGTTTGCATCTTCCACTATAGATTACTGAAGTAGTTAAAGCTGCTATTTTGAGATGGAATTAAAGGCATTGATTCAATCATCAGCCCTTCTAAAAGGTTCTCATATTATAAGTTGGGTATAAACGGGGTTTTGCCAAATTTAATGTAAAGTTACCAAAGTTCAAGGCATTTTCAATAATCGTCAGCCATTCTAAAATTTAGATTTGTTTAACCATCACCATAGTAAGTTTTATTGTTTGGGAATTCGTGCATCCTTTCTTATCGGTAAATAAATTTTCAAAACATGTCTCTTTCCATTTTAGTCATCAAATTACTAGAGTAGTTCATGATATTTTCATGAGAAGGAAAATGATCCATGGTTGAGAAGCTATTTTTTTAACATACCTAGGTATTCATAATTGGAAAATGTGAATTTGGTCCACCTATTTTTTCATGCTTATCTGTTTGTCTCATTGGCATTTGTGAGCTAATATGATCCTCAACTATCCCAATAATGCTCATTCTCAAATATCTCAAAATCTTGTTTGAGGTCCTTTGGTGGTGAACTTAGTATTCATGTCCACATGTTTAACCAATTGTTGAATGAAAAATTGTTATCTAATTGCACCAACTTTCGGACAACAAATTTAAGTAGCTATTAGTTGAGTCTTCACCAGTGGACTAAAGTTGCCATACTTTGGAGGATTTGAAGGTGACATTTGCTCACACATCAACAATTCACCATTACAATAAAAACTATGCCTTAATCTCAATTCAACAGGGTTGACTACATAAACCAAATAATATCTCCTAAGGCAACCGTCAAAATCCTCATTTTCTAGTCTTGCTGGCTTATAGTTTTTTGTAAGGCTCCAATACTCCATTCTAGGTCATGTTTCTAGTCAAAAGACATGTGCAGACTAACGTATCCATACTTTATCTTCAATGGCCACTATAACCACTCTCTTGTGAATCTCCTATTTTGCCACTATCTTTTCTAGTCTCACCACATATTCATCTCAGTGTGTGCATCTTCACATAGTGTCACACTTATATTTAGTATTATATTCATATTCATTGCCTTAGAATTTGATTTGTTTTCTTAAGCCGCCTATCGTATAATACAAAATCTAAACCTTGTGTAATTGGTGTTGGCGTCTGGGGTCAAGATGTACACATCCTTGTCCCAATAAAAAACAGAGACCGTTTCAGTAAGACCTTTGATGCATTGCTGCCTTTACTGCCCAAAACATTGTAAAATGTAGAAGCAAAGGAAGTTTAATCAGCCATTGTGATTTAGTTCATTATTTATCCAAAGTTGAAAGACTCTCAATGTTATTTCTTTTTGCTTCATGGGAAACATACAGTAGTCTTTTAATAACCTTTTAAGATTTTCTATTCATACTTAGAGTAACATGGCATTTCAATAATCCGTTCTACTTGAGGTAGGTTTATGCACACTTCACCCCTACCTTTAAGGTAGAGAGGTTGTTTGCAAAAGACCTAAACCAAATCTATTTAATGATATCATTTGAGGGATGTAAATAAGTATTCCCCATTCCAAGTAGTACACAAAAAATTCAAGGATGTAGACATAAACTTGTAATGTAGATTTCCCTGACTTCCTTTTAAGTTTACTTTGACCCTGGTTCATAACCTTAATGAATTTGATTCCAATGCAACACAGATGAAGTTTATTTATGGAACTAAGTTTACTATGGATGAGGTACAAAACCTAAAGCTTCTTATTCAAAGCAACATTTATAAATACCTTGGCATCTTACTTGAGGGTCGAGAGCGCTTTGAAGAGGAAGCCTTGAGGGAGAAGAACACATCTTTGCGAGGTGAAAATCTCTCACCAGGTTTTAATGCCTCCATTGCCTCATTATAGTTTCTTGATCTTTCCTTTTGTGCTGCAATTTATTTACATAGATGTTGGAAGGCTCTAGCTCTTTGCAAGTAGCAAAATTTTTGACGAAGTTTTAAAGCCTGATTACAGTTTGTGGATCTTTTATTTTTTCCTGCATTTGCGTTACACAGATGTTGGTAGGCTCCAGCTCTATATTGCGGTTTTTGATCTTTTGAATGAAGATCTTTCTACTTCTTTTTGTAATAAGAAAAGAGCTATTATATGTATGCAATGTTGTGATTCTTTAGTGCATTTGGCTAGAATGGTTTCCCCACAATGGTTTCACTTGTGGTTTTTTAGCCAATGAAAAGTAGTAGTTTTTGTTGTTTGTTATTTTTAGATCTGCTGATTTGTCAGGAAACATACTCCCCCTCTCCATACCCTCTAATGTAATATATAATACTCTATATGTTTGTGGCAGCTGATTTCTAAAGTAGTTCACTATCCATGTACTCATTCAGGTGATATAAGAAATGGATGTAAGACATGCATATATTCTCTCAATCAAAGGCTGAAGCAGTTTTCCGACTGGCTGTTGGAGATCGTGGCTTCTGGGGATCTGAATGCCTATTTCCCTGCTGCAACCCGTGAATATTCCCCCCTGGTGGATGAGATATGGAAAGATCCAGCCATTCAAGAAACTTATAAGAGGATAAACGAATTGCATTTCCTTCCTGATACAGCAAAATATTTTTTGGACCAGGCAAGCCTAGTTTTACAATCTTATGGTCTATAAAATGGACTCTGTTTCTACACCAGAATGATGCTCAATCATAGGACATGTTATTTGTCAAGTAGATGGACTGTGTCTTCTTTGTTGCTCAAGCTAGGAGTCTTTTGGAAACAACCTCTCTACTTTCGAGTAGGGGTAACCGGTAACATCAGCTTAAACACACCCTACCCAGATCCTACAATCCTACATTCAAGGGATTCTTTTGGGTTTGTTGTTATTGTTGTTGACTTGTTATGACCTGTAAAATGGACACCTATGGATATACCCGAAAGAAAGAAAAACAGCATGGAAGGAGAGGATTCCTCTTCTGCACTTGTGTGTTTTCATGGAATAAGTTTGCTCCATATGTTTTTAGTTAGTTAGTTTACTCGTATGCTTTTCTTTGGGACTTGGATTATGAATTATAAAGCGTGGTTGTTTCTACTGAAAAGTGTGTAGATTCATGTTAGAGCATGTTCTCTTCGTTTGATAAGATTCGTTCAGATCTGAATTTATTAAGGTCCGATTTGATCTGATTCTTTGTGATCTGATGTGATTTAATTGCAGCTAAAGTTGTACCCTATATGTTTCTGGCATGATTTGATCAGAATCGGAATCTATCTTTCTAATTTGATCTGATTTGATTACAATAATAATAAGTAATAAAAACAAGTTGAAGAGAATATGCCTTAGTCGCTGCTTGTTTTGGCATTTTGCTGATGTGTCTGTATTCTAAGTAATTTGACTTGCACCAACAGGTCATTGAGATTTCGAGTAATGAGTATGAGCCTTCAGAAAAAGATATTCTGTTTGTCGATGGCATGACCCCTAGCAATGGACTTGCCTCAATTGAGTTTTCATTTGACGATCACTCTGCAAAATCGGACGTGTTTGACGCGGAATGCCAACGTCCACTAAGCAGGTATAGTTCTTTCACTTTGTTCTTAGCTTCTCTAGCTACCGGTTATAGAATTATGTTGTTGTTGTTATTATGAATCTAGTCCTTTGAAATTTATTATGAAGTCTTCTCTGCCTCCCCATCAATCTTACAGGTACCAGCTGATTCGTGTTAGTTCAAAGGGACCACACGATTTTGGGAAATGGATTGATATGTTAGAAGATTTGACAGTGGTAGTCTTATGTGTGGCATTGAGTGACTATGATGAGGTCTGGTCCCTTGGTCAAGGTCCTCCAGAAAACAAAATGCTGGTAACCAGAGATTTGCTGGGGAGTTTGGTTCGACACAGCAGTTTCAAGAATACGAGGTCTGTGCTTGTCCTAAACAAGTATGATGTCTTTGAGGATAAAATTAGCAAAGTCCCTTTAACGGTGTGCGGGTGGTTCAAAGAGTTCAGACCTTTGAAATCAAGCGGCGGCAATCAGTCCCTAGCAAATGAAGCTTATCACTACGTAGCTCACAAGTTCAAGGAGTGGTATTCTTCCATCACCGGAAGAAAGCTCTATGTCTGGCTAAGTAGGGCCCGGGAACGGTCATCGGTGGATGAAGTGTTCAGGTACGTGAACGAAGTGGTTAAGTGGGAGGTAGGTAAGGATAGAATGTGCAGTATGGGCGATGACAACAGTGACAATTCCTTGTCTAGTAGTAATGAATGAATGACAAATAATCTCTTGGCCCTTGGCTACTTTTTGAACCTCCAAGGGAATATTACTTCTGACTCGAATACCCCAAAACAAAGATTATTGAATGACAAATAAAAATGCCGCGTAGTTTGTACTGGTTGTTGTGTATGCAACCAATCCATCAGGTTTTCTTGGTTTCTCGGCTTTCTATTTATTTATTTATTTATTTATTTATTTATTTATTTATTTATTTATTTATTTATTTATTTATTTATTTATTTATTTATTTATTTATTTATTTATTTATTTATTTATTTATTTATTTATTTATTTATTTATTTATTTATTTATTTATTTATTTATTTATTTATTTATTTATTTATTTATTTATTTATTTATTATCAGACACCATATCACTCTATTCTTAAAAGCAGGGGAATTTTTTTCCCGCCCAATGCACTATAATCCTGCACCGTTGATATCAATGTACGAAAAAGATCTGCGGTTATGATTGGTTGTGTATTATTACCAATTTAGAAGGATATATTAAAGGAAGGAATTGAATGTTTTTACCACCGTGTGTTTTTTTCTAGAAACATAAAGGGTGTTATTGATAATTTTTTAATTTTTTACAACCGTGTAAAAAAAGGTAATTTATTCCTATGAAAATTAGCATTTTAAAAAAGGAAAGCTTTAAAGGAGGATATAACGTATATATTTACAACCGTGTTTTTTTGTAAACAGATTAACAAGGAAAAAAATTGAGAAATAAAAATTTACTTTATATTTTGATATCATTATTATTTTTTAAATATGTGATAAAAAAGGAAATTTATTCATACAAGAAAAGAGGTTATTTTAAAAATGGCAAACATAAAGAGATGGAACGTGATTATTTTAAAAAATATTTTATTCCTATGCAAATTACCATTTTAAAAGAACGAAAGATTTAAAGAAGGATATAATGTAAAGATTAAAAACCGCGATTATTTTAGTACGTTAAAAAAGGTAAATTATTCCTACGCAAATTAGTATTTTAAAGAATGATATAACGTAAAGATTTAAAACCAT